AAATAAAACACATGAAATCTGTCCAAAATTATTTTAAAAATATTCCAAACTTGAGGATTCTTGTTCCCAACATGTTTTCACAGTTTTGGCATGTTTTCCATGTGTCTTGGGCCGTCTAGAAGATATCTAAATGAAGCCCACACGCCCTTTGGTCCATCAACTCATATTTATTTGATTTATTTTGAATTAATTTGAATAGAAGCAAAATAAATAAAATAAAAAAATCAAACAAATTTATAAATGGACTTAGAGGTCCTATAACCTGTTATAAACATGTTTAAACCTTAAATTTTAGGCTCATTAGTCCAAAAGTTCAAGATTGCTCAAATGAAGTTTCATGCATTTACTCAAAAATTACCCAATTTTCACCAATCATAACTCTCTAAGTTTTCATTATTTGAAGGTAATCTTTGAATTTTTGGAAAGCTCAAGATGTCCTATTCAATTTCTCTTTTGATCATTTTTGCATTTGGATACTTTTTCTTGATGTAAGTTGCCTTGACAAAAAGTGTCTTTTGTTGACTTTTGAGATGACCAATAATGTATGGGCTCATATCTTTCAAATGAAGCACTTTTTGGATTTGAGCATACAGATACAAAGTTGTAGAGAATTGAATTCCCTTCAAAATGAGCTTTGGATGGGGAAAAGTTGATGAGGAATGTGAAAATTATGTTTGGTCAAAGTTCAGTTGACTTCTCCTAAGGAAACCCTAATTTGACAACTTTTGACTTTTGATGATTTGAAGACATTCCTTGAGGAATCATGATCAACCTTTGATCAAATGATAAATATCTCTTCAAAATCTTGATGTTGACCAAAAATATTGAAGTTTGACTGTAAGTTGACCATAGTTGACTTTTTACCCAATATAGTTAACTTTCAATCATCTGAGCCATTGACTGAGCAAACTTATGATGTAAGACTTAACACTTAACATGAGCACTATTGAAGACCTATGGTGAACCATGAAAACCATTTGAGACCTTTGAAACCCATTCTTCCTTGTGCAAGATGAAACTCTAGTTGTGGACCCATTGCTTAGGAGGAGAGTTTGTATGATCAACTCTTGAGAATCCTTGAGTATTTGAGAACCCTAGAAGAATGTCTTGACGAAAACGGGAGGATAAATTTTGGGATTCAACACTGGCTAAGTCAAAAACCCGAAAGGGCAACTTAAGCAAAAATGGGTATCCCGTTGGATCGAAAACCTGATAGGGAGGTCTAAGCAAAAGTTAGGGATTATAAGCGAGAGACTGTAGTATGAACACTCTTCATGAATAACACAAGCACATCTATAGCACCTTGGCAGTGAATTGATTGGTCCAATTGCTACTCTTCAGAAGCAAGGCATTGAGACTATCGAGGAATATAGGAATTGTAGCAATACCAGTTTTAATGGAAATTCGAGCATCTCTCATTGCCATTTGTACCTATTGTATTTTTCGTTTCTTTTTTTGCAACTACCTCATACAGGAGTTGCATCCTTGTACAGATGCTTGTTCATAGGCTAATTGTCAATTAATAAAGTTTGTTTTCATCAAAAATCTGTCTTTTATTATCATGAAATGTTTTTCGTATGTGAAATGTGTTTTATTCGTTATTAAACATTGCATTAGAAACATGGGAAATAAAAATTCCCAAGCTAAGATAAAACTTGACCTTACATTGATGTATAACCACGAGGGAGTGTCGTATGCATTCTAAGTGTTATTTTTCTTTACAGGTAGCAATGAATAACAGTCACCCTGACCTTGACAGTGCACGAAGCCGCCTTCATCTGCTATAGACAACTTCAAACCGGATTCCCCAAGTGAATTCAAAAAGTTTGGAGTCGCCGTTTGATTTGGCACGCACAAGTGCATACCCAGTGGAGTAAACTAAGGCATTCGTAGAGCTAAACTGGGGCATTGGTAGGTGATCATGTCCATCTTTTTATCCCTAAGTGATTCAAGACGTAATTCCCCAGTGTGACGTAAATTTGGGGCATGTATTCTAAGAGATCCACATGGTGTTCAGTACCCATTCTTCGGCATATTCAGTTCTACCATCCTCCAAGCGGTTCAGGATGAAGAGAAGTCTGGCCAGATTATGTCTTCCCCAACAATACAATTCAGAATTCAATGGCGTACCTGAAAAATCACTTCATCAGCAATCCAATCTTCAGTGGAGTCATCGATAATCTTCAATATCATGAACTCCCCAATGCTAATTCTTATCAATATCCCCAGTGATCTTTGGTACTATAGGTTTCTAGTGCCAATATGTATTGGTATTCCCTAGTGATGAGCAACAGTTCCCAACGAGCCTTCGATTACCCTCATGAAGTATATTTCTTTGCATTTCATATAGTTATCATTGCATAACATTTCATCTTCAAAAGCGCGTAGCCGATCCATCAGAATGGATCTTTGCAGAAAAAATTCAAACATGCATACGAAGCACAAGCCATATCGAGTACCTCATACAAAACGTCCTTCGTTACATCACGATACTCAGCTAGTGGTGTCAGTCTCTTAAACACCCGTCCGTTTCAGTCTTCCAAACACTCGTTCGTGTATGTTTTCCAAACACTCGTTTGGGCCAGCTTTCCCAAATACTCGCCCGGGGCCATTTTCCCTCCAAATTCCAATAAAATCAGTACAGTCATTCGTACCTTGTACCTTCACTTATCATGTCATAACCAATGTTCTCATCTTAGAACCTGAGATCGCCTGTTAGCTAGGTTCTTCCCTACATCATTTTAAAACCTGATATCTCCCGTAGGCTAGGTTCTCCCTATGATCTTCTTAGATCCTGAGATCACCCATTGGCTAGGTTCTTCCCTAGATCATCTTAGAACCTGAGATCGCATGTTGGCTAGGTTCTCCCTGTGATCATCTTAGAACCTGAGATCGCCCATTGGCTAGGTTCTTCCTACAGATCATCTTAGAACCTGAGATCGTATGTTGGCTAGGTTCTTCTTATGATCATCTTAGAACCTGAGATCGCCCGTTGGCTAGGTTCTTCCTATAGATCATCTTAGAACCTGAGATTGCCTGTTGGCTAGGTTCTTTCCTAGATCATCTTAGAACCTGAGATTGCCTGTTGGCTAGGTTCTGCCTATGATCATCTTACAACCTTAGATCGCCTGTTGGCTAGGTTCTCCCTACGATCATCTTAGAACCTGAGATCGCCCGTAAGCTAGGTTCTTCCTATAGATCATCTTAGAACTTGAGATCGCTTGTAGGCTAGGTTCTTCCTATAGATCATCTTAGAACCTAAGATCGCCTGTAGGCTAGGTTCTCCCTATAGATCTTGTTTTAGAATTATGAGGTCGCCCTTAGGCCTAGTTCTTTAGTAGATCACCCATAGGTATCTTCGTAGAATCCTGAGGTCGCCCATAGGCCTAGTTCTTCGACATATCACTTTTATGTTTCACCTTAGGATCGTAGGTCGCCTGTAGATCTTATCCGCCGTCTTTTCGTACCAACCTTTGTCTTGTATTGGCATCATGCCACGTTACGAGTCTATCCTTGTATTGTATTGGCATCACGCCAAGTTACAAGTCCAATCTTCGTCTTGTATTAGCATTTGTTGCTATGTCATAAGTCCAATCTCTGTCTTCTCACCAGAAAACGAAAAATTCTTTCCCCAGCAGATATCACAAAAATAAATAAATAAACACTCACAATTTCTCTCATAACAAATTTTTAGCATTGATATTTAATCATCTTCTACCTTGAACATTTGAAATGCTCGCGCCAATCACACTTTCAGGTTTAAGACGATTAAATAGGGGTAGTTGTAATACCCCAAATTTGTCCTACCCTTTCACTTCTACCTGGCTTATGCCTTATGCATCCCATTCTCACCATTGTATATACCCTCCATTAGGTCATTTAACAACATCATGCATTCACTAACAACAAGGCTTGGCACTTGGATCAATGGTCATGGGATTAGAGCTTTGTATTGGTGTCAAGGTTCCGTATCTTCTACAAAGTTTATTTCAACTGAGATATGAGCGTCATGATTAGGGTATGTCCCTCATACAAGGCTATTTGGCATCATCAATAAATTTAACATGGGATCAAGGTTAGAGATAGAGTTAGGGTTCACATGGTTTGGGGTGTGTATTTCATATAAGCCTTGATCTATTGAAGTCTTCTTGGTCTTGAATCGGATTTTAACAATATGGTCACTATGGACTTCTTATTCTACTTCATGCAAGGCTTATCTTCATCAAGGCATCCTTGGTCATAGAGAAGGGTTTACTTCCCTATGCTTGGGTTTATCATATGAATTGGGTTTTGGCTATGAATCAAGTTGTTCTAATCATTTTAGGCTTTGACATTCCCATTTATTTTTTACGGTAGTTTTGTTTTTTAAAGTTTGAATAAAAGAGTGTGAATTTGAACATGGAAATTTGTATGGACTTCATGGAATCACTTCTAAGTTGAAAATTATTGGGTGAGACCTTATACCAGAGTTCATGTTAAGCATTTGTTGATTTTCATCCTATTTGTTGGTATTTATTCAAGTGTTGCAAGAATTAAAGGAAAATTGGAAAATTAAAATGAAGCATATGGAGGGAAAATGAATTCCAAACTATATATGAAAAAGGAGGACCATTGCATATTACATCCATGAGATCCATTACAATCTCAAGCTTCATTCAAATTGCATCCAAATTTGTTCAAAGCACCATAAAAGTACCAAGTTTCAATGGAAATGGAAATCATTACAAGTAAATATTCAAAAACATTTATCGAAGAAGACTGGAAATTCAAATGAGGCATTCAAGGTTTATCGCATTTTTCTCAAAGCTCCAATTCATTACAAGAGAGTTTCCGTTCAAAATGTCACCATTTATATCGCCAATTTTCAGGAACATTACAAAAGGCATTTACATCAAAGTCTAATCATAAATCTAGTCTAATCCTTAATTTGTCTTCAATTTTCTTTAGGGCCAAATGGGTTCCAACGTTGGGACATTACCATTTGTATGGATCCACAAACATCAGTTCAGACCCGTAGAAGCATAACAATCAGAATCACCTCCATGCTGCCACTTGCTACAGTCAGCCCTGCATTCACATAAATCAGCACTATATCCATAAATCAATCCTTGTACTAACTGATAGCTCTGCATTAGTTCAAAGAAGAATCAGGAAAATGCAAAACATAACTAACAGTGCTAACTGTTTTTCAAAACAGGGCTAACTAACCTGTAACAAATTTTTGAGATCCTAACTGTTTTCTAATCTCTTAACTGTTATAACAGACAGCTCAAACCCTCTAACTAATGCTAACAAACTTCCTAACAAACTTCTCAATAGTCTGCATAACATAATATAACAGAAAAGAGAGGAGGGAGTTCACATTCATTCACCAAAAAAGTCAGAGGAAAATCAGTTATAGGAAACCCTCTCTTCCATCCTTAACCTTCACTCTCATTCTCGATTTCTCTCCCACACCATAACCTCCATCTTCACCTTTCTTTTTGAGTTCATGATCATTATTCATAAAATTCTCCATCGAAAAATCTTCATCCTCAAGTTCCCTCTGCAGCACCTTCTTCACTTGAGTCTTTCTCTCTTCAACCAAATCGCATCCTTTATCTCCATCACATTCACTCTCAAAAGTCTGAGAAGAATTACCAGAAAAATAACACAGAAACATCTCTCTCTGAAATCTCTGAAGCTCCCTGAATATCTTTGCATCAACCTTCATGTGTTTGTAACCTTTTTCAACCTTCATCATCAACATCACGAATATTTATCCTCTCTACACCAGCAACGCTCATCAATCTTCGTCTTTCTTCAATCAGCAACAACTTCCGCAGCTTCTTTGAATCGTCATCATAATCGTTACAAGAATCACAATAGTTTAAAAATCACACAAAAAGAATAAGAAGGGCGAAGGAATAGTTCGCACATCTGGAGTAATCGAAAGTACATACCTGAAGTCAAAGAATTTCACTGATAATCACCTTCCTAAGTTTATGCTCTGACTGGTAAGCTTCAGAATCCTTAGAATCATCCATCTCCTCGTCATTTTCTTTGCATCTGGTGGTAGCTTGTATCTTGTAAAGGAGGATCTCGGTGGTTTCCTCTGTTAATTTATCATCACTGCCACAAATTGCAAGCTTACAATCCCTAGGGTTTCTAGAAGAAAGCTTCGATGTCATGGATTGACGAGAAGTTAGTGAATTCTAATTCAAGATTTGTGATCAAGAGTTAGTTTTAGGTAGGGTTCAGGTTCATGTTTTGGTGATTAGAAGGGTTCAGCAGTGGCGACACCGCCGGAATCCGCATATGAATGTTGAGAGAACAAAGAAAAGAAACATTGAAGGAGAGAAAGGTTGCTAGGTTAAACTCTTGGCATGTCTAAACGGAACCGTTCCAGTCTTATTTAATTTTCTAATAAATTTCACGGCTTTTTCTTTGTTAATTAAGGGATGAATCTTTTGATGGTTGCTTTGGACCACTATGATCAAAAGCCTGGTGAATTCTGTGCCACACCCCATGTATCCTATGCACATCATTTTTACAATTTTTTGCAATTTTTGGTTTCTGAATATTGATCGGGCCACTACACCATAAGCCCATACATCTAGAAATATACCTTACACCACTACCTCGGGCCATATCCCCCCAGTGAGCTTCATATTTTTCTCTTGTTTTATTTTTTATCATAGTTTTAATACAATTTTTGTCAGGAATTTTCTTTGTGATTCTATATGATTTTTACTCTTCTTGATGACAAATTGTGACATAAAAATAGGTGATATTAATTTTGTTTTTGTAGATTCTTTTGGTTAATTATGTTCATAAAAAGTCACATAAACTGGATAAAAATATGCTTTATGTTTCATCGGATGTTTACGTGGTTTACTAGCTTTATGATAGAATGTTGATGCAATTTTTGTGACGTGGAACGCTTGGAGATTAACTTGTTTAATCACTTATGCGAAGTAGCTTCTGTAGAGTTTTCTCTTCGCTTGCATGGTTTTGAAGAGGCAACGGACCTTCTCTATTAGGTATCATCATGACTTTATTTTATTCCTCATTTCCGCATTTTACTGATTTTCTAGAGATTATGAGAAGTATGGCTTTACTGCTTTCTAATGCCATGATAAGTATGGTAGAGATGTATGATGGGATCTCTGTTGATGATATATGTCAGGAATCCCTCTAGTTTACTTAAAGAACTGTTTAAGGAGATTCCGCATACGTGACTTGTTTGCTACTTGTGTTTGTTTAATACCCTACCCTTGTCTAGGTATTTCGCACGTGTGTTTACATTTGTGCCCGCACTATTCCCTCATCCCTTATTGAAGTCCTCAAAAGGAGGCGAGCGGGATGGGGTTAGCAATCAACCCCTATAATTTCATATGTGTCATCCTTAGCTTGTGACGCACCACAACGCTTCAGAGTTTTGTCTACTCTTATTATTGAGTCATCAAGTGGAAAATGGTTTTGCAATCAAACCCCCACACTTTGTCAAGAGTTTGCATTGGCTGATGCTGACACTCTGTAATTTTTCACATTTCCTTATGTCGCCTACCTCTATCTTCTATATCTTCGTTAGGTGTTCAGTCGCTTTTGACATCACATTTTTATTTTACATCATATTCCCGCTTGTTTGCTTCGGGTGATACGCTCCTCTTGCTAAAGCATTTCGCTTCTTTTCTTTACCATTTCATGTGTGTGCTCTTTCGAGCTTGTTTGTATACTTGCTTTTATACCATGTTCCCTTAGGATGTGCTTTCTCCTTTTGGATGCAAGTTAGACCTTAGGTTGCAAGCCATGCATGCTAATATTAAGTAGACATTTCCTTTTCGTTAATCCAAACCTTATGACTACTATTGTATGATAATATTAGGATTGGAAATAGGCTAGTCTCTCGTAGATTCTTTTCTTCCCCTTTTGCATATGCATCTAAAACTAAAACTTTCTTTATTAAGCAAACCATAAAATGTGCTAATCACACTTAAACCCTTTTTCAAGGTGACAAAACACAAACCAATCAAATGTAGCATCTTGCCTTGAGGGCGTAAATCAAAACCATTTTCAAGTAAGGACATGTTAATTTATTTATGTGCCAATGTGTGAGTCTCCAAAGGTCGAGCTGCGGCAGAAGGCGGAATTAACATTGTTCATAAAAAACACAAACAAACAAAAACATGTGAGCCGAACTACGGTAACTCTGAATCCTCAAAAAGGATACGTAGGCATTGGGGTAGGGCCCAAGCGAGCACAAATTTATTTTCCCTACATTATTTTCTCCTTTCTTTTGCATGCATTCTTCCTCGGCGGTATAGTAAGCATTGATTAAACACACCCATAAGATAGATAACAAGAGCGAATACCATAGAGTACTACAGGCGTGTGGGGTGCTAATATCTTCCCCTGCGTAACAGACTCCCTTAACCGATGTCTCGGTCGTAAGACCATGACTTATCTCTTCTCATGATTTCTCGATGTTTACCTTTCCATTCATGTGGGATAAAAAATGTTCGATGGCGACTTCATTGTATGATGATTTTCATCCAGTTGTTTTAGAATGAATAAGGAAGAACAACTGAGGGAGAACACGAAGAAGAGGTGGAGGTTGACCACAAAGAACAACAAGAACAACCTGCAACAGGTGAGCCAGATTCTGAAAATTCTGATGCACCAGATTTTGGAAATTTAAATGATCTAGAAATGCCTCAAAGAAGAAACAAAAGAAGACCTACATGGATACATGACAATGAGAGTGGAGCCGAATTTTCAAATGAATAAATAGGCACAAGTATGGTGTTGTTTTCTTCTCATAATGATATTCCAAAATTTGTAGAAGCTATCAAAGAAGAAAAATGGATGGAGGCAATGAAACGTAAACTACAAGCTATAGAGAAGAACAATACTCTAGAGCTTGTGGTTCTATTGGCTCGGGCAAAAACTATAGGGGTGAAATGGGTTTTCAAAACAAAACTAAACGAGGATGAACATCTCAATAAATACAAGGCAAAGTTGGTTGTAAAAGGATATTCTCAAAAGGAAGGGATCGATTATGATGAAGTTTTTGCTCCAGTAGCTCAATCGGACACTATAAGAATTATGCTTATTGTTGCTGCACAAAAAGGATGGACAATGTATTAGTTGGACGTAAAGAGTTATTTCTTGTACTAGGAGCTAAAGGAAGTTGTCTACGTAGATCAACCAAAAGGATTTGTCAAGAAAGGTGAGGAAGACAAAGTTTATCGACTTAATAAAGCTCTTTACGTCCTAAAACAGGCTCCTAGAGCATGGTTTAATTGAATTGAGAGTTATTTCAGACACAAGGGGTTTGAGAAAAGCAACCATGATCACACTTTATTCAGCAAGAGTGTTGGAGAAAAATTGCTTATGGTAACCCTTTATGTTGATGATTTAATTTTTGTTGGGAATGATGGTATGATGTATGAAGAGTTTAAGCAATCAATGAAACAAGAATTCAAGATGAATGATCTAGGGAGGATGAGTTTCTTTCTTGGTATTGAAGTACATCAAAGCTTTAATGGAGTCCATCTATGTCAGAAGAAGTATGCTAAGGAGATGCTTGAAAGATTCAGAATGTGGAATTGCAATCATGTCAAAATTTCTATAGTACTAGGGACCAAACTCTCGAATGAAAGAGAAGAAAAGTATGTGGATGCTACTTCATACAAGCAACTCGTGGGATGCCTTATGTATTTAACAGTCACTAGACCTGATATGATGTATGTGGTATGTTTAATATCTCGTTTCATGGACAAACCTAGAGAAGAGCATATGCAGATTACTAAGAGGGTTTTAAGGTACTTAAGGGGCACTCTGGATTTTGGTCTCTTCTATAAGCGGGAATCTGACTCAATACCAAAGGTATATACTGATAGTGATTATGCCGGAGTTATAGACGACATGAAGTGCATGTCGGGATATGTATTTCTACTAAGTAAAGCAATTGTGTGTTGGAGTTCACGAAAATAAGCTATAGTCACTTTATCCTCGACCGAAGTTGAGTATATAGCTGCAACATCACGTACTTGCCAGTGTGTTTGAGTGAAAGAAGTTCTACAACAATTCAACACCAAGCATTGTCAGTTCTTCGAGATCTTGTGCGATAATAGTTCCTCCATTAAACTCTCAAACAATCCAGTGATGCATAAGAGGACAAAATATATAGATGTGAGGTATCATTATTTACGTGATCTTACAAGTCAAGAAGTTGTGAAGCTAGTGTTTTGCGGGACTGAAGAGCAGGTGGAAAATATCATGACTAAACTAGTAAAATTGGAGACATTTGTTAAGCTAAGAAGCATGTTTGGTGTTGTAACTGGTTTTAAATTTGAGAGTCACCACCCTTAATTTTCATCATAAGGAATGGAATATAAAGGTTGACCCTAAAAAGTTAGAGATTCTAGGTCTTTGACTCGGTTTTAGACGAATGGAAGGTGTTAGGCACCCTCATCTACCTTGTTCACAAGAATACTAGGGTTAGAAGCACAATTTTTAGGAAATAGGGTTTTAATTTTTATTAGGGGAACCCACCATGATTTTAGTCGTATGGCTATGTATCCTCTTGTGAGGAATCAGTAGTTCGCAGTTGGTTGGTGTTTTTTATAGGATCATGACATGTATCCAAATTACTTGCAAAATAGAAACCTAATATACATATAAAAAAATTAAATAGAAGTAATTATCAGATTTATCCTTTCTTTCTCTTCTACGCTACTATTCATTATCTCTAATATTCCATGGCTCCCATTACCTCATTTTTTAGTACATAAAAAAATACAAATTCACCCCAAGAAAATTAAGGAGGTCATAAATGAAAATAAGATGTACGAACCAAGTTGTAGCACGCAAATGAAAATGGAATGCGGTGGTCGCTGAAAGCGGTACCTGCAGTTTCGTTAAAGAGCGGGGGTTGGAATATTGATCGGAAGTCGGCGATTCGTCAGATCTGTTCGTTGGTGCAGATCAGACCGGCAACGGTCTTCTAGGCAAAGAGGGTTCTCGTGTGTGGCTACAGGGATAGTGTCAGAGATGGATTTGCGATCGGGATCAGTCGGTGTTGGAGGGAGTCGTCGGGCTGAGTTGTGCGTGGAGGTCTGGGCAGCACGGACTAGATCTGTGACAGCGAGCGGTTATTTTGATTTCATTCTCTTTGTTCCATTTTTTTCATCTTCTTCTTCAATAGATATGTTCATGTTGTTTAAGATATAATTGCTGTAAAAGAAAAAAACCAAACAAAATGTTGTTGCTAATGTTAATAGAATATGTTGTTAGCTCTTAGAATTTGAAAGTGGAAAAATTAATGTTGGTGATAGGTGATGTGATTGTAAGGTTGATGGTGATACTGAAAAATTATAAAGGTGAAAAAGAGTGAAGATTTTGTGATTTTATCCTTTTTCTGAATAAACTAACAATTGAAATTTGGGAAGTTTTGTTTTAACAAGCTCATGGAATTTTATTGTTTACAGTGAAATGGTGTAAAGGTTCTGTTTATGTACCATGAGTTTATTTCTACAAAAAAATGGAAAAATATATCTAAAGTTTAGAAACCAAGAGAAAAAAAGCTCAGTTAGAATATACAATCTGTGTGTGCAAAAAGCTTAAGTTTGAATATATAATGTGTGTGAATGTTTACATGAGAATTGTTTGTAAGAGTTGTCTCATTGTTATGAGAAAATAAAGTTTTAAAAATAAACAACCATCAGATAAACATTATATGGTTAAAACAACATATAAATTAAAATTAAGAAAAGAATAAAAACCGAAATTAAGAGGGGGGCCTCATATGAAAATCATCGGCCAACAAACTAAGAATATGCAAATAATTTCGAAAAAGAAGTTTTGACAATAAGGGTTTTGAAAAAAGCATGAGAATTGGAGAATCGAAGATTGAAATCGTAGAGGTTATGGATTGTGAAATTATTCATGAGAAACTAGGACAACAATAGTCCTATTTATAGAGTGAAATTAGGTTAAAATACTTAGTAAGTAAAATTGTCCAAAATATATGAAAAGCCCAAAGCCTAATTTCAAAAAAAGGAAAGAAAATTAGTAACAAAAAGAAAGAGAAAAATGTTAAAAAATGTACCATAAGAGATTCGAACCCGCGAATTCATAGTTGCAAGCTTCATTATTTATCAATTGTGCTATGTTACTCATCTGTAAATAAATCCAATTTGAAAGTATATGAAAGATTAAGAAAATATTTATTTATTCAAAAATACAAATGATCTGAAATAAATCATTATATTTTTAAATAGGTTTGGAAACGAATATTTTAAAAACCCAAAATATTAATGTAATTAAACCAAAATAATTTTAAAACTCAAGTTCGAAAATAAATTTGACGGTAGCACTAAGGGCGGATAAATTTGGGGTATGACACTTAGGATACAAGCTCGAGAAGATTAAACTGGATGCTTGATTAGCATTTCCAGTTTAAAGGAAGGAATTGTTGGATCTGATGTGTTATTGTGCTAACTACAATTTAGGATTTCTGTTAGTGGTTTAAATTAACCTAGTATTTTTAGGAGGTGTTGAGCATGTTCTATTTAAGTGGGTTAGTAGGAGTTTGTTTCAGTCTTTTCTCTATGTTTTGTTCATGTTTTTCTGCAATTATTTTTTCTATTTCCGTTTTCATTTTGTAGGCTATTTAAGCCATGTTTCTGTATTTAATTAAATAGAGTGATTTTACAGAAGCATACCTTAGTGTTTCTGTTTGGGGTTGGGGCTGCCTCTCTCTACCTCACCTCCTCTGAATAGGGTTTGGGAGCAGTTTTATTGACCACTCACTAAAACTGCCTATTAATTAAGGGTATGGAGTCGATGTCGATCGTATATCAAGTTGAAAATAGCATATCGATCCCATCCTAAAATTCAGTAGACGGTACGCAACATCAGTAGTCATGTTGCAACGACAACCTCTAGTTTCGGCCCTCCACGGGCCTTTGAATTCTATAGTAAATATGGAGAAAAGAGGATTACCCTAAGAAAGGGAAAGGCTCTCTCGCAGGTGAGTTCATTTTCAAAATTTCAATTTCCCTAGGAGCTAATGACGGGTTTAATTCAACCCAAACTACATAAGGAGTCTCGTCCCAACTCAACTCTGAAGCTTATTTCTCGCACGTGCATGACTATCAGCCTCAAAGTATCTGAAACCACCTACGATAAAAACCATGCTACACCAATCAAGAGTTCCTCCTTTTAATATCATAGTAAATGTACTCCTTTTTCGAGCAAAAGTGAGGGGACTCAGGGAGAGGAACTCAAAGTGAAGTGGTCAGTCTGGGTAGCTAGTCTGAGCTAATCATGAAATTCTTGTAGCGCCCCGACCAAACGAAACTACAAAAGTGAGTGGAAGGATCAGGCGCACAAAGTGAATTATACTGTGAAGGGAGAGAAGGATTCAGGAGATTTGTTCCTCCCAAAACCTTTACCTTTATAAATAAACTGTAAATAACATGAATTCAATAATTTGCTTCAGATTGAGTAAGCCAAGGCCCCAATCTGCTTCAGAATTTCAACAAGGACTTGACTGAATTCCTCAAGCCAATTCCTAAATTAGATTTTGGAATTCCTGAATATTTGATCGAATCATGAATATGATCTTTAGTAATCCTATTGGCTTTCTATCAATATCCTGATGGCAAGAACAATGCAAGGCTTCAATTCCTGCATTGCAAGATTGCAAAAAGGCCTTGAATAATTCCATAGTTAATACAAGGCCCCAGACCGCTTCGCGGTTTGAGACAAGGCCTTGACCGACTCGTAGTATTCAACTGAAATTTGTAGCTTATTGCTGCCGGTTGGAATATGCAAGGTCCAAATCCCTTTGATAGATTTAGAAAAAGGCCTCGAGGGGAAATTTGGCGGCACGCATAATGTTATAGCTATAGGGTGCCTCTCGTAGACAAACCTTATATGCTTTATAATTTAATTTTCCTCTTATTTATTTGTGGCTTATTCATAACAAAGAGCTTCCTTATGGAAACTAGGGTCTTTATAGGGGTCCTATTGTTGTTTGAAAGGTAAGTTTAGTCAGAGATTAAATGGAAAGGAATGGAAGAGGTAACTTACCAACCAACAAAAGGATATCAAATAGAGCGCCAACAATTACTCTACTCGAGCGGAACTTCTAAGTGAAGCTTCTCGTTTTTTAGCAAGGTTTGGGCTACGGGGTCCTTTTCCAACCCCTCTCTTATGCGTACAGGGATGGCCCCTTTGAGTTGGCTCATGTCTGATATCTCTTCTAACTTGTTGGATGCCAACTCGGCCTTTCAACTTAGCGGGTCGGCAACTTGATTGGTCCTCCCGGGCTTGTACTCGAGGATAATGTCGAACCCCACCAGAAAGTCTTGCCACCATTCCCACTTGGGGTTGGGCTCTCTTCTGAGTAAGGAAAGAGCTCATAGCCATGCTATTAGTCTTGATGACGAAGCTTGAGCCCATCGAAGAAAACAACACTATGCTCTAACAATTCAATAATCTCTGTGACTTGGCTATCAAGGTCACTCGCCATGAGTGCTTGCTACGAAAAGTCAGACTTGATGCAATGGTGGCGGAGATCAAGATCACTAAGCCATCTGTTGGACTTGCTATATGCAAAGCCCCACCCAATCAGGCTTCCATGCTAAACAAGCCTGGTATGGAGTGAACTGCAGGAAAATTTTGTAATCGGCCACGTGACTTCATGTACGATGTCTCAAAGGTCGATGAGATCTATGATAGCTTGGAAAAAGTCGGGTTAGTTTGGGTCCCTAGAGTATCAAGTCCAGTTAGACGCACTAACGGGATAAAAACCCATATGCTAGTTTCATGCCAGTAATAGTCACACACAATACAAGACAAGATTGATGTTTCTCGATAAGGGAAAATAGATGTTGATTGACAAGCAACCATTTCCTAAGACGGTGTAGGCAACACCGGTGTATATTCATGACCACTACTTAGATTTGTCGATATAGTAAGTGTTCCACGAGTGCTTTCTATCTTTTTTCCAACTTGACTTCTTTCTTCCACATAGACCTCACTTGCATGCCTTATGGCAAACTAGACTTAAAAATGTAATATATATATATATATATATATATATATATATATATATATATATATATATATATATATATATATATATATATATATATATATATATATATATATATATATATATATATATATATATATATATATATATATATATATATATATATATATATATATATATATATATATATATATAAAGAAGAGTCACGCTCTTGAAGCCCTAATAAATAGGCAACACCGGTTCGAATGCAAATTGGGGTGGGGCTCTTTCTCCGGAATAGGAGAGTAACTTACCCAGAAAAGACGTCGCTGGGAAGGCGGTTATTATAATAGAGGTGCCTTCAAGTGGAAATTCAATTTAGCCGACACATAAAAACTAAAGGATTTCTCCCTCTATATCATATGCATTACGTATAACATTCGACCCCTTCCTCTTTGTAGGAATTCATATCTTTCTACTCCTTTCGCCCTACGACTCCTCATGATGAAAGCTACTTCACACCCTGAGTCTGCTTTCTATATTAAAAAATATATCTCCCTTGAGCTTGGACAGTTGGTCAAGGCGAAACATGTACAGTAGAAGTTTAAGCTATTATTGATCCAGTTTCCACCTCTTCACCATGATTGGATAACACTGATTCTTTCGAAGAAGATATGAGAATTGATGGATCGTCTCACTTTCCTGCAAACATAGAAAATAACTATTAAAATTGAGATGACGGTAAAGTCAACTACGTGAAACAAACCCTATCTTCTATAGGGCAGCTATTTCCGTATCAGGAAGTAGTTATGGTGTCAAAGTGCAGCACTAATCAATCTCGTCAGCAACGCTAGTCTGAAGATTTTTTCTCAAAAAAGGATCTGTACATATTGGTCAGAATAATACGTATAGGCGGACAGGATTCCTCCCTTTTTTCCTTTATAGAGAAGTGGGGTGACAAGATTTAATAGATGCCAATAATCCACAGTCTGACTAGTCAAGGCATATGTGATACGGTGGGAGAACTGACTTGAGGTTTTGCATTTGTGTTTGCAAATGTTTCGGTTTAACAAGAGTCACCGCCGACTTTTTATTTTATCCAAAGGAAAGGTCAAAAAGCACAGGAAAGACCTTTGAGATGTTTTCTTGAGTTCGGGGGGTAGATTATGAAAAGGGAAGGTGCTAGCAC